TAGATTACTGGCATATGATGTTTGTTGTGGACGTTAACCTGGAGAATGTGTCACATTAGTTCTGAAAGGGCCTCAGCATGCCATTAAAGAAGTTTGCTGGTGACAGAAAAATGTTATAATTGGTACTAATTCCTTTTGAGTCCTGAAAACAGGAAGCCTTCAAACAGTTATACAGCTCTCTGGTGGCTCAACTCATTAAGGCATTGAGTAGCTGAGTCACAGAATGGGAAGTCCCAGATGCAACCCTCACTGTTCACTGATACGTTAGCTCATCTCAGCCAGGGTGGCAATAATGATGCTTCATTTGGCCTTCGTGCCCATGGGTGCTTGAGGAGGAAATCATCAAGAGTTTTAATCTCAGTTGATGTCCAAAGGCAAAAGCACTTTTGAAGATAAGAGAAGTGGACGGGATTGGTTTGACTATAACAATTCCCTGTTCAAACAGATTACTAAGTATCACTCATTAATAAAAACTGAATGAGATTTTCAATTGTCCAAGATTGGGTGGGCTCCAAATAGAAAGACGTGGGGATTTAGAAGCTCCTCAGTTCAGGGGACTGACTCTGAGCTGGCTGGCCACAACCAATGTTATAAAAAAGAAAGAAAGCTGTGCAGGGTTCTCTTGTGGCACATCAGTAATGTCCCTATCCTGGATTAGGATCAAGTCCCATCTGCTCCAGAGGTGTCTAATAACATCTCTGAACAGGTTGATTAGAAAAATAAGTTAGATAAAAATTTAGAAATCCATGAGAAGGGAAACAATGGGATTTTAAAATACAGCTAATTTTCTGCAATGCATTGTAAAAGCAATGATTCTTGCTGAAAATTAATTCTAGGAAAATCAGCAATACCTCTACAATCTTGTCAATGGAACTAAACAGTATGTGACCTAGATCAATGCATGTTTGTGGCTAACTAACCAAATATAATCCTGTGCTCACCCAATCTTGTTTCCCTCCAGTATCCACACAAACATTAGGGCCAATGGATATCAATTACGGCAATAAACTCTGGCTGATTGCTGAGTTTCTTCATTCTACCAAGGAATGAGGGCTGACGTGAATTAAAATAGCTCAACTGTTGTCCATATGAGATTAATTAACTTAGAATAGCCCTTAAATTGACAGGGAGTTGGTTAGTGCACTTGGTTGGCCAGCCAGTTTGTAATGCAGAGTGGTGCCAACATTGTGGGTTCAATTCTCACACAGGTTCAGGTTATCTTGAAAGAGCCTTCTTCCCAACCTCTCACCTGAGAGATGGTAACATACAGGTTCAATCATCACCAGTTTTGTGTCTCTCTCTCTCTAATGACAGAGTAGCCCTACAGTCCTCTGGGACTATTGTGACTTTTGACCACAAATTGAAGTTAAAGACATTCTTTATCTTTTGGCAGTCTCTTAAAGAAAGAAGGATATTTGTATGGAGTATAGTAAGAACCTGTGTGTGGAACCTTTTACCCTGGGGAGGCTGTTCTAGTGCAGTTACAACACAGTTCTGGCAGACCTAGAGTCTCTCCTGTCTGCCATTGGCACATTCATAATCAGCATGTTTGGCTGAATCTTAAACACTCCTTCCTTGGTCATCGGGTCCTAGAGTGGGACTTCAACTCAGAGTTTTTGGCTCAGAGCTATCACACTATCTATTGTGTTACACAGCCTCAAGCTGGAAATCCACTGGCTGATTGGCTCAGTGGCTTCACCAACTCAGTTATCAATGAAGTAAGTCTTTATTAATTTTAATAAATGCTAAGATTAATGATTATCCCATATATGTATGACACTTTCTTGTTATAGAACAGGATTAGGAATTCATAATTGCCTTGAAGGGAGTTGATTCATCAGCATTTGTGAAGGGCACAGATATTATCTTCATATTCCCCATCAATAGGCCAGTTCCACCTCAATGTTTGTGTCACTGTATAGTGGCTTGGTTTTACAGAGATGCAAACTGCACTAAATCAGCCTTGAAATCGTGTGCAGCGTACTTAATCCAGGAGTATGACATAAATTCCAAGAAGATAGTCCCCAACCAATCAATTGGACCACTTGGTAACTTTCTAAAAATTATTTCTGAGTGCTTTAAATGTCAGCAGGTAGAAATGGGCACATTACTCTCCTAATATTCAAATTCAGTTACCATCCTGAAGCCAGTGAGGGCGTGTGTGAGCATTTATGCATTGACCTGTAGTCTCACTGTGTAGAGAAGAACAGGGAATCAGCAACTGCTTCGGGTCTGCTGTTATTCTGTATAGGTGACATCTGCACACTTATGGTTTGTTTTGAGAGTGTTTAGCTCAGTATGAAAACATAGGAAATTGGAGAAGTGTGGGTTACTTGCCCTCTCAAGTCTACCTCTTCATTCAACTTAGAAGATTTAGAAGAATGAGGGAGTATCTTGTAGAAACATATAAAATTATGAAGGGAATAGCTAAGAAGCAGGGAGGTTGTTTCCACTGGCCGGTGAAACTAGAACTAGGGGCATAGTCTCAAAATAAAGGGGAGCAGATTTAGGGCTGAGTTGAGGAGGAATTTTTTCACCCAAATGGTTGTGAATCTGTGGAATTCTCTGCCCAGTGAAGCAGTTGAGACTTCCTCATTGAATGTTTTTAAGGCAAAGATAGATAGATTTTTGAACAGGAAAGGAATTAAGGGTTATGGTGAGCAGGTGGATAAGTGGAACTGAGTCCATAAAAAAATCAGCCATGACCACATTGAATTTAACTAGATCATAGCTGGTTATCTGCCTCAACACAATTTCCCTGCACTATCTACACTTATCTCTTAATATCTTTAATAACCCAAAATCCATCAAGCTCTGACTTGAACATACTCGGTGACTGAACATAGGATAACTACAAAGACTGACCACCTTCTAAATGGAGAAGTTTCTCCTCGTTCAAGTCCTAAATCGCTTTTAATTCTTATGTTCTATTACCAGTTGCTGGATGCCCACCCCTCAAGCCAAGGGAAACAACTTTCTTCCATCTATTCTATTGAGTCCTTTGTATGCTTCCATGAGATCATCTCTCACTTTTAAAATACAGGCCTAATCACCTCAATCTCTTAGCAGAGGACAATTCCATCCTAGAGATCAGTCTTGTGAACCTTTGTTGCACTTTCTGTATGGTAAGTGTATCTTTCTTAGGTAAAGGGACCAAAACTGTACACTATACACTAGGTCATAAAAACCCATATGGTTTACGAGTGTCCTTTAAGGAAGGAAATCTGCCATACATACTTGATTTGAGCTACATGTGACTCCAGACCCTCAGAAATATGTTTGACTCTTAAACTCTCTTCTGATATGGCCCTGTAAGGCATTCGGATCAAGAACAAGTAGGGATAGGCAACAGATTTTGTCAGCCCATGATAAAATAAAGGAAATAAAATCCACATTCACTCTTTCCAATCCTACCATTATTTTTTTAAATTTCCAGTTATCATTTCCTTTAAATAGATACTAGCTTTTTCCCAGCTACAGATGTTATGCACACAGGTCTGCAGTTCCCCATTTCCTCTCTCCTTCTTAAGTAATAGGTCTACATCAGCTACTTCCAATCTGTAGAAATCATTCCACAGTCTATAACATTTTGGTAGATGCCCTTCAAGGTATCCATTACCTCTGCAGTCACCTCTTTCAAAGTTCTGAGATGTTGATCACATTCTCCAGGGGTTCTATCAGTTTTCAGCCCCATGAGTTTCTCCAGTACTACCTTTTCACTAATACTCATCTGAGTATTGCAGTCAAAGACGTTCTGTTGGGTAATGGATTCCTGTTCAGATCATTTCTCACTGTGTATCACAAAGGATGGGCCTTAGCCATCATTTTTTCCCCAGCCTCTGCCAGATTACCCTGGAAGCATATCAGACATTTGACCAAATAGGTGAAGATCACTGTTTCACACTGCTACCACGCATCAGCAACGAGTGGTGTCTGCCACCAACCAGATGCTGCCGTCAAGCCAAAAAATCATTCGGCCTATCACACGAATGAATTTCAGTGCCAATGTGATGCTTGGAATGTTAGCCATTTGCCCCAAAGATTGGTGGATCATATTAAACAGAATATCCCTTTGGCTGTTCACAAAAGTAATGACCATTCCCAACCAGCCCACACTTCCAAATCTCACAACAGTGTCCAAACTTAGATATGATTCCACAATTGGGCAGTATATGGAAAATCATCCTGGTTGTGCAACCGTTCTAGGGTTCATTTCTCAGGACAATGCTAAGACCAATCAGTGTCAACCAGCCTGGTTTAAAATTTAAACAAAACTTGGCAGGTCACTGTCATATCTAACTTGTGCATTCACTTTGGCAACACCTCTACCAATCAGAGTCCACTTGTCAACAATCAGCACTCTCCTCTGATACAAATAAAAGTTGCATTCCCTAGATTTTGGTCATTCTTGCAAATCGTTCTGATGAATGCAAGATGAAAAGTTTTGGCAAAATATATCTTTTCTCGGCAATACTCAAGTTCAATCCTAACAAAGGACTATTTAAAATATTAAATTCTTTCAGTATATCATTGCCTTGGTTCTCAATTATTCCCAGGAGATCTTGTTTTCATTGTGTCTGCCTTTTTGGAGGATAAGTATTTATTCAGTTTTACTGCCATTTGCTTGTTCCCCATTGTAAAGTATTCTGTGTTTGGCTATTATGAATTCACATTTATGTTTGACAATATTCTCCTTTTCTTGCTTAGCTGTAGAGCCTTTACAGTCTGGTATGTTTCTCAAACTGTTCTGTCATATTCTTTTTTCTCTTTTTTTATCAGTTTCGTGAATTTGCTGAATTCTACCGAGGCTTTCCAATTTTTTTGGCAACTTTGTAAGTCTCTTCCTATCATCTAACACAATCTTTAACTTCCCTTGATAGCCATACTTGTCTCATCTTTCCTGTTGGGTTTTGTGTCGCAAAGGAGTGTAAATTCTTTGTATTGATTATTTAGGCACTGGCTGTTGTTGGTCTACCATCATAACTTTTAAAATCACTAACCTGTGTGGAGTTGCACCTGGTGATACTTGAGCTCATGCGCTTCCACAAAGCTCTTGTCACAGATTGCACAAGCAAAACCTTTGTCTTTGGCATGTGTGCGTCTTACATGGCTGTCGTGAGCTGCGTGTGAGGCAAAGGCTTTGCCACAGTGTCGGCATTTAAAGGGTTTCTCTCCAGAGTGTTGCCGAATGTGAGTCCGCAAGATGCTCGAGGCAGTGAAGGCCTAGAGGCAGGGAAAAGCATAAATTTATTTGTGATGCTTACAAGAATTGCCAAAGACAAAATAAAAACATTTAAGCTCTTCTCTCCAACATTCATACTACTGGATCTAGTTGAATTTAAGACCTCTTCAATGTTTTTTTTAAATTGGAACCAGCTACACATAGTAGTTTATTCCAAACATTTGTCACACATTATGTTTTTCGCATTACTGGACTGTTATCTCTGAGCTGTTGGTTCCCACTACAAGGGTCATGCAGAGTTAACAGCAATGTCTAAATAAATGTCTAGGATCTGCTGTAGCCCATGGACATGAGACCTTGTAAGATATATGTCTTAATAAAAATCAAAAGAACTGGGAATGCTGGAAATCAGAAACAAAAACAGAAATTGATGGAAAAGCTCAGCAGGCCTGGCAGCATCAGTGGAGAGAACTCAGAGTTAATGTCGTCAGAACCGTGTCTTCTTGGTTGCCAACTTAATAAATCCGACAAGCGGGCTTTGAATTTGTTGCCAAGTGTGACAGACCCAGGTGTCATGAATTGGCAAAATTAGCATGACTCTGAACTCAACATAAAAAACATATTTTAAGAAATGAAGTTATTTCCTTATCTGCGACAAAAACAGAAATCTCTGAAAAATCTCAGCAGGTTTGGCACCATCTGTGGAGAGAAAGCAGAGTTAACATTTCGGGTCCTGTGACCCGTCTTCAGAAACCCTTCTTTAGTTTTTTATTTCTTTACTGTTTTAAATGTTCATTTATAGTTCAATATTTCTTTTCTCTACATGCCCTGCTCACAATAACAGTGCAAACAGATACATGAACCTACCTTGTTGCAGTAAACACATTTGTATGGCCGCTCTCCTGAGTGAACTCTCATGTGTTTATTAAGACTGGATGACTGCGAGAAGCTCTTACCACACACTGAGCACTGTTTAACAGAGAGAGACGCATTTTGTAAAGACACGTAAAGTAATGTTTAGCATTATCTCCTGCACATAATTAAATTGATTGTCAACATTACACTGAATTACATGGAGCAAGGAGTTGGCTATGGCAATGCAGGGTAAGTAAGTGTAATGAAATTTTAAGACTATAAGAAATGGGAACAGGACTAGGCCATTTGGCCCCTTCAGTCTGTTCCACCTTTGAATAGGATCATGTCTGATCTGACATTTCTCATGTTCACTTTCTTGTCTTTTCCCTGTAACCCTTGATTTCCCTACTGGCGACGATAGTAGTGGAATGCCATATGAATTGGTGTACCAATGCATTTGAGCACAATGGGTTTACACCCTGTTAATTCTCACATCTCTTAGCTGTGTCACCAGAAACAGCTATGCAGACAAAGTTTTGGCATCTCTCTAAGTGATAATGATGGTATGCTAAGAATGGAGGGAAAGCAAGAGCGTTCTTAAGTAATTGGTTAGAAAAATTCATAAAAGCTTAACAAGATTTAGAAAGTTCAAAATAATTGGGAAGAGTATGGTTTTGTGAAAGTGAGGTCATGGTTAGCTAATATTTAATAGTTAATACGGAACATATAATATTTCTTTGTAGGAATACCTTGTGCTGTGGATAGGTAGACGCCCATTGGTCCACTGTTTCTTGGATTTCCAGAAGGAATTTGACAAGGTACTACATAAAATGTTATTTCATAAAGTAAACGCTTATTATACAGGTGGTAATACACAAACAATGATCGAGAGTTGGCTGGCTGACTGAAAACGGAGTATTTATAAATGGGCCTTTTTTCTGATTGGGAGGATGTGACAAGAGGAGTCCCATAGAGGTCTACATTGGGGCTTCAACGTTTACAGGTTATTGGAACAACTTAGCTGAGGGAGCGAAAGCATGGTAGCTAATTTTTGCAGAATACAACAAGTTGGGTAGGAAAATGTGTTGTGAAGAAAGCACAATGAGTTTACAGACTAATACAGACGGCTGAGTGAGTGGGAAAAAATCTGGCAGATAGAGTATATTGTGACAAAATGTGAAAATATTTATTTTTGCAGAAAGAATGAAAAAACAGAATATTGCCTAAATGGAGGATAACTGCAGAATTCTGAGGTGGTGAGTGATCTAGGTGTTCTAGCACATCAGTCACAAAAAGTTAGCAAGTAATTAAGAAGGTTAATGGAATGTTATATTTTATTGCAACAGGATTGAACAGAAATTTAAGGATGTTGTGCCTCAGTTATAAAGGGCAGTGGTGTGATCATATCTTGATACTGTGGTATTGAGATTTGGCCTCCTTATTTATGGAAAGATGTAAATGTGTTGGAGGTATTTTAGGGGAGGTTTTCTACATTGACATCTGGAAAAAGAATTAGATTCTCTTATGAGGAAAGATAGATCAGGCTGGGCTTATTTTCACTGGAGTTTAGAAGACCGTATAAGATCCAGAACAGTCTTGACAAGATAGATGCGGAAACGATTTTCCTCTTGTGGGTGAGTCTAAACTAGGGAGCACTGTTTTTAAGATTTATCTCCACGGAGATGAGGAGAATTTTTTTTTCTGTCTCAGAGTTGTGCAACTTTGAAACTCTCTGCCTCCGAGAATGGAGGTGGCATCATTGAGTTTTTTAAGGTGGCAGTAGATAGACTTTTGTGAGGCAGGGGAATCAAAGGTTATCAGGAGTAGGTGGAAATGTGGAATTTGAAACAAATAGATCAGCCATGATCTTATTGAATCTCAAGGAGCTGAATGGCCTGTTTTCATCTCCTAACTTGTATGCGTATATGTTTATAATTGCAACAGTACTCCTGACAGGAAAGTAAGCATATTGATAAATGCATAATGGTGGCAGTACTGAGAGAAAAGTAATCACATTGTCTACAAATCATTTCTGATTTTCCAGATGTGTTGCTTATGTGTACATGTAGCCAGCTGGTCCAGACATTTTGGACGTAGTGCACATCTGCTGAGTTAGACGGTTGTCTTACATATCAGATGCAGAATGGTGGAACTGAAGAAAGTATTTTATCAGGATTGATACTGTATCCGTAATTACTTCATGGGTAAGTAAAACAAAATCGATACAAAGCGAAGTACTGGGTCATACTAAATTTGTAATAAGTATCATCAGCATATTTGTGTGATTTCACAACCTAGATTGTCGCAATAATATTGCAAAATTTGTATCAATATGTGTTTGTCTTTCCAACATTTCCACTTCATTAGACAATAAATCCCTAAAGGACGATTATTGCAAAGAATATTTCTTGTACAATTTTTCAGGAATCATTTAATGAGATGAGATAGTTAAAAAAAAAACTATGCCAACAGTTTACTCCTGGTAGCATCTAATTCAAATACAACCATGAAATTTTATATTACAGAAGGGGGCCATCTGACCCATTGTGTCAGTGCTGGCTATAGCCTTTTCAGAAAGAAAGAACCATGTCATTTGAAGTGAATCCGGCGGCTACGTGATCCAATCAAAAAGAAATCATTTCATCGAGGTGTATAGCAGGGCTTACTGAAGTGTTTATGTATAACTGCAATGTGAGTTCATTGGGATGTTCAAATTCACAGCAATAGGAAGGATATTGTTAAACCTGAAAGGGTTCAGAAAAGATTTACCAGGTTTGGAGGGTTTGAGCTATAGGACAGGCTGAATAGACTGGGGCAGTTTTCCCTGTAGTGCTGAGGGTGCACGGTGACCTTATAGAGGTTTATAAAATCATGAGAGGCACGGATAAGGTGAAGAGAGGAAATATTTAAAAGGGGCCTAAGGAGCAATTTTTTTTAACACAGAGGGTAATGTATATATGGAATGAGCTGCCAGAGGAAGTGGTGGAGTCTGGTACAATGACATCATTTAAAAGGCATCTGGATGGGTACATGAATGGGAAGGGTTTAGTGAGATATGAGCCAAATGTTGGCAAATGGAACTAAATTAACCTGGTCGGCATGGACTGGGTTGGACCAAATGGCCGTTTCCGAGCTGTATAACTCTAGACTCTATGACCTCATGAGTTTTGGTGGCTATTTAGGGAAATGGACGGTCAGAAAGTGAGGATTATTATCAAGCAGAAATTGTCCTCCATCCAAATGTTTTGAAATATTGCGATTTAGTTCCACTCAGTACTGAGTCTGGGGCATTGGGGGCTGATGAAGCGAAAGCAGTGAGTACAGGTCCCCTGCGCAGGGACCCTAAGATTATAGAACGGATTGAGGGAAATTCATTCGTTCAAAATAGGGAGCGGATCGAAACGCAATGTGTGCGAATTCACGGACTGCGTTTGGGGATGTGGTCCTAATAATATCGGAGATATTCCTATACCCCTGTGAAACAGGTAGGAATTGAACCCGGTCCTCCAGGTCCAGAGGTAGGGACATTGTGTCCGTCAGGGACTGGCTTTGGAGTTCGGCCTTTCTGGTGTCCATTCAGGAACGAATAAGTAGCTTGCTGTGGGAGCCGTACTCACTTTGTGGGGCCGGTGTTTCTCATGAACGTGCAGAATGTGGATCCTCAGTCTGTCTCTCTTCTCGAACGACCTGTTACACAGGTGACAGGGGAATTTCCGATCTCCCTGATCCACACAGCGGGTGTATTTCAGATGTTTGTCCCTGTAGTATTTGTAGGCGAATACCTTCCCACACCTCTCACATTTAAAACCCTCAGCGGACTCTGCCAATGGAATGAAAGTGGCATTTTAGTCAAGCGATCGCGGCTAATGACAGTAAACCGCAAAAGGGCAGAAAATCGTTTAAGTGTTTTAACCTTCAGCCTGCTGTGCGAATGGACTTTCAGTCATTTCCTTTAAAGTGACCGGGATTCCCATAAACTGGAGATAGCAGTCCCCATACCACACCAACAGCTCTTGCTTCTCTGCCACATCCTTACAGGTTTCATAGAAGATTTTGCCTTCGCTCTGGACAGCTGTTAAATTCTGTTCTTGGGGCGTTCTGGCGCAGTTCACCAAGGCCATCCAGTTACTAGCCGCCCCTTTGCCGTCAATGAAGTGACTCAGTGTGCCGCCTTCAAAAATCTGGAATACAAGTTGTCCCAAGTGAGAGAGAGAAAGAGCATATAGCTGCAACTATATCTTATAATTGTCCCACGTGTGTGTGTGTGAGACAGCATATAGCTGTAACCATATTATATAGTTGTCCCATGAGAGAGAGAGCATATAGCTTCAACTATATCTTATAATTGTCCCACGTGTGTGTGTGTGAGAGAGAGAGCATATAGCTGCAACCATATTATATAGTTGTCCCATGAGAGAGAGAGCATATAACTGTAACTATATCATATAGTTGTCCCATATGAGAGAGAACGTATAGCTGTAAATATACCATATAGTTGTCCCCTGTGAGAGAGAGAGCAGACTGACAACATATACCCGTTCCCCAACCATTGGAACAGCTTCTCTGGGAGATTCAACACTCAAACACACCCTCACCCTCCACGACTGGCATTCCGTCAGCTGCAAACTTTAAAAAAAACAGCATTCGGATATCCTGCTCCCTGTATGAGATGCCCGAGTGTAATTCTCACCTCCCACATTAAGGAGTTATCGTCGTAGGTTTTAATTTCACTCGTATTCACCACTTTTCCTGTAAACGGCCCGAATCGGACCCCCTTGGGGATCAGGGTTTGGCAACAGAAGACGCCGAGATGATGCACTCCGCCGTAGAAAGTGTGAGAGACCGCGAGTCCTGCCAGAGAGCGGAGACAGAAATGGGTCAGTGCCGCTGGATGGGGAGCGAGAGGCTGGGAGAGTGGTGCCGCGCCCTCCACCACCAGAACCCCCAGTCTGTTCCCCAGACCCCAGTCTGTCCCCCAGCCCCCAGTCTGTCCGCCAGCCCATCCCCAGTCTGTCCGCCAGCCCATCCCCAGTCTGTCCCCCATCCACAGTCTATCCCCCAGCCCATCCCCAGTCTGTCCCCCATCCACAGTCTGTCCCCCAGCCCATCCCCAGTCTGTCCCCCATCCACAGTCTGTCCCCC